CTGCTACAAAGGAAACGAGGCATTTCATCTTAGTCCTCACGGGTGACAACGCATCTGCATTTTGATTCGTAATCGAGGATAGATGTAGGTCTGTGGGCCACAGTAACCACTTACCATCAGGTGAACTGTGTGCTCGTTTGTCACACTATCCTATAAAAAAACGTCGATTTCTTATAATTTAATCGTGCAAGTTTTCGAATCATCATCATCATTGCAGCTCTTCACAAGTCCACTACTGAACATCTTCCTCTACAGACTGCCGCAAAGCATGGTCCTGAGCCACTTTGCTCGTCATGAGTTTTTCATTTATGTTCTAAGTTATAATTAGTACCTATTATTAAGTCAGTGTTAATTATATTTATTGCTATTGTTTTTGTCTTTCTCAAAAAATAATTAAGTTACCGAATAAATTATAAGGTGTTTTAATACATCAAATGTCTGATAGAAATGCAGGTACATATTTTGCTAAACTTTAGAATCAAAACCCAATTTTAAAACATAGACTAATCGATTATAGCTCCTTTAACTTTAAAATAAGTTAAGTTCTTATTAATGGTATTTATTCCAGTTTATGATGCATGTAAAGAATAAATAAAGCTAATCGTATATCGTATATCTATTTACAACCCCATTAATATCCACTATTATTTTATAATTCTTTTATAAAAACGTTAACCCCACACTAGGATTTTCTCCCGTATCGCGCAGGCAGTTTACAAACATAAATTGCACAAGGACACACATCCAGACCCGAAACAATTATTTTTAGGACATACAATTACTTGTTCCGTGCGGGATCAAACCCGCGGCGCCCAGTGCAGCCACTCATTGCTGAGCCACTGCGCCACGGTGCTTATAAATTCGTCCGCACATTGGCCCGAACCGAAGTAAACTGAACGACCTTCCAACGTGTGGACGCCGTCACCAACTCTCGGCCAATATATTCGCCACTACATTCGCCACTGTATTGGCCAACGTGTAGAGGCGACATTATGTCGCCTCTACACGTTGGCCAACACAGTGGCGAACGTCATTGTCACATAATGTCTGAATCAGATTATTATGAGAACAATTTTGAAATTGTTCTCATAATAATCTGATTGTAAAAAAAATTTCATTATTTTTTTTATAAATAGCTTATCGATTAAAACAAATGTTTAAAAATAATTAAATCGCGCTAATTAAAATAGTAGCAATGTTTAAAGTTGAAATTGGCACTAAAAGGCTGGTAATTGGGTCATCCACCCTACAAAGAGTGAATATAAAATTTTAATCAGATGCGTGTATATATATATATATATATATATATATATATATATATATATATATATATATATATATATATATATATATAATCGGGATCTCGGAAACGGCTCCAACGATTTTCATAAAATTTAGTGTCCAGGGAGTTTCGGGGATAATAAATCGATCTAGCTAGGATTTATTTTTAGAAAATGTCTTTTTGTCCGTGTTTTTAGGCAATGAAAAACTGCTACAATATCGTTAGAAATTAGAATAAGAAGGTAAATTTTGATAGATTGTTAATGATTATAAATAGCTTAATTGTTATATTGGTCGGTCACAGAACCGTAAAACCCCGGTTCGAGCCCAGACCGGGCCAACCGTCTATCTTAGTTTTTTTTTGCAAGTTCCTTTCCTTTTTGAGAAAATCTATTTTTTCGAGCCCTTTTTTTAGTATTTTTTAAAAACAAGAAAATTTAAATTAAAATAATTGCACTCATGATTATTTATTCAAATAACCAGTTCCGATTTTTCTGTTATGTCGCTAAAATCAAAAATATTATTTATATTTCATCAGTATGTAATTTGTATCTAAATATAATTTCCAAAACACACGAATTAAAAAAAAATCGAGCGAAAAATACCGAGCAAAGCGCGGTCAACCGGGTACTAAATTAGTAATAAAACAAATTATTCTTGAGACGCCATCTTGTGTCACGTAATATAGATTATGAAATTAATTTGTTCAGATGTGACATTTCTATGGGTACTTAAAAATAGGACGAATATATTATTATATATATTTTTTTGTAGAAACATATATGAGGTATCATAATTAGGCCCAATTTTTTATATTTAAATCTGCTAATTCTTATATTTTATTTTTAGGTTTCCACATCAAAATCAAAGTGTAATAAATTTTTAACTATCGCGTGCCCAGTATTTATGAACGGCTCTTATTCTAATTTAAATAAATATTTTAGAATATGTAATTTAAATGTTATATTAACAAGTTTTGTTAAACACACATTTAGTATGTTTTTTTTATATTTGAGATAGATACCTTTTAAAATATTGAGATAATAATATCATTAAAATGTAATTGTGATATAATATTATGTAACATTATATTAAATAAGCAAATATAATATACAAAATAAATGACAAAATTTAAAAAAAAATCTCGATGTAATTTACCTATTTAACAGTACAATCCTTTATTGCCTACTGATCATTCTACCTATGTTTATTCTATGATAAGAAAACATACGGCGCGAACACAGAGTAGCGCACATTTTTTGTTTGAAATAGCTGTTCTAGTTCTAGTACGTAAGTTCATATTACTTCAATGGTAAAAGATACTGAAATCGGCCGAAGTAAATTCACAATTCAATCACGATAATTGGAATGACGAGGATTGGAGTCAAATTCTGTTCGAGTCCAAATTTAGCCTAAAGCTGGATGATGGAAGGGTTAAGGTATGAAGACGCCCCGGAGAAAATTGTACTTAGTGCAACTTCATTGGAAAGGAGGCATAATATGGTGAAGGGTCAGTTATGGTAGGCAGGCTCTTTCTTTGAGACATTGAAATTAAGGCTATGGAGTGGCCAGGCTCGCCAAAGCGCATGTATGAAACACGCTTGGAAGATAAATTAAGAAAAAAAAGTATTTTTTGGTTATTTTTTGTAATTTGCTCGTTTTTTTCGACTTACAATTTTAAACTAACGCATAATAAGCAAAATAAATTTAATGAACCCTATTGCTACGAGTATCCATGATATTTTATACACACTTTTTGCGTTCCTCTAAATTTGTCTAAGAGCATAAATTATATTAGGTATTTATTAAATTCAATATATTTTTTTAAAAGATCTCTTTTAGCTTTTTTTTTTAAATGATAGATTTTTCTTTATTTAAATAATGGGTCGGGGAAAAAGTTTCTTTGTATTTTATATATAAATTCAAGACATTTTTTTTAAAGTTTAATTGTAATATATGCCATTTTGTTCGATAACTTGTCGCAATCTTGTAGGTAGTGACATAATCTCGTTGCTGTAGAAATCTTGCCTTATGATCAAAAACATGCGACAAATAGTTTTGACCGTTCGACCAAATATGTGTGTGATCTGGGGTTATCATGATGAAAGACCACTACTTTTCTGTTGATCAAATCCAGCCGTATTTCTCAATTTCTTGCTTAGGTCCCATCAGTTGTTGGCATTAGTTTTAGAAGAGATCCGAATAGATGGTTTTGCTCGGAGTTTAAAGCTCATAATAAACGATGTCCTTCCAATCCCACCAAACACACAGCATCACGAGTCGTATTTTTCCTTTTTTTTATAATAAAACTTCAAAATGTATCGAATTTCTTCATTCACTCATTTTTGCCGACAGAAAACAATTTAAAAACGGCGGAAGAGTGTTTCTTACTTTTTATTTTTATTTTCTTACTGTCCTTTATGTATTGATATTAAAACCAGCTAGATACAAACAGTACAAATAAAGAGATTTTTTTTTCAATTTTATACAAACAAAATACCTACCAAGAAACATTTCCCCCGACTTATTTAGATCTAAGATTCACGTAAACTATGAAAATCGCCATCTATAAATCAATTGAAATACTACACAATAATAACGATAATATTTTTTTGTTTTGGTTGCATAAGTTTATATGTAACTACTCTGAGGCTTTGACTAAACACAATAAAAGTATTAAAAGTGTTAAATTTTTCAAATTAGGTATATAAAAGTCAAATAATGTATCTACTATATAATAAAAGATCATTTTTGTAACAGTGCCATATATACTGTTTTTGACAGACTAAAACCAAAAACAGAGGAACGCTGTGGGTCAGTTTCTTTAATTTATTTGTTGTATAGCTAGATACATAGGAGTACACTCAACCACCACTAGATGGCTCTATTCAAAAATTTACATTATATATTTTTATAAATTTTCTCTTTTAAACTGATAACATTTTTATAGCATCTAATTCTAACATAAAATTTTATAGAATCATGAATATTCCTTAATTTATGATTACAATAGTTAACCAAAATATGCCAGTGCCAAGTGTTATCATACACTTTCATTTCTGTCGCCAGGCAGCACTGTACCCATTGCTGTCTTTCGGTTGAAGAATAAGAGAACCAGTTTGATTATTGGTTTTGTTGTATGTCATCTTAACCTTGGAGATGACAACGCATTCTGTGGCCTTATTTGACTTCAGTTTGTTTGCAGATGTACAATGGATGCAGTAGCCCCTTGTCAAAAGGCACAAGCTTAATTTAAACTTGTTTGTTTCTTTATTTTAATATTAGTTTTCTGTCCGTGTGTATGCGACGGAACTCCTTTTAAACGGCTGGACCGATTTTGATGAAATTTTGTGTGTGTGATTAAGTTGATTCGAGAATAGTTTAAACTCAGAATTGGACCCGTTAGGTGACGCTGTCGTCGAGATCCAGAATATACCCGCGCGCAGCCGAGAGGAACCGCTAGTAATATTTAAAAAGAACGGGTGAAGAGACCTACGCCAAGTAAAGTGCATATTTAATTCTCAAAACAGAACGCAAAGTAATGAAAGTTACCAATTCTAGATGATTTTGAATCAACTTAGCAGGCAATGGCATAGCTCAACATCAGTATATCATTCTAATAAAAAAAAATCTACACATAACCAACGTGAAGAGATTGATTTAACTTCACAAATACTTAATTCGAGTGACAACGTAATATAATTATTGTAGTTTTAAAGATGGTATTCTATTTACAAGTTATCCACATTACATTAGAAACAAAAGTTTGCATTATTGGTTTAGAAAATAGGTATAAAATGTAAAAATATTGTAGAAAATTAAATAGTCTTTGTAATAAAAGAAATAGCTGCTAAATAGTTAGGTTACTGTTTTAAGATAATGAAGTAAGTACCTGGACGACTATGATATGCTCAGTTTTAAACAAATATCAATACGGATAAAAGCTATCTAGGTATAGGTGCTTGAAATGCAAAACATTACCCAGAAATTTCGTCTTATTAGTTAGAGCCGTTTCATGTAACCATTTACTACTACTCTTAAACTCTTGTTTAAATATAAAGAATGATATTATCATTACATTTAAACTAAAGTTGAAGAGTTATGTGGTAGAACCACGTTGCAGCTATATTATGGTTGTAGCACGAATAGGTCAGTTCCAACGGGGTAGGACCACGCTCTCACAAAATACCAGCGTAAATGCTGTTGTGTTTCGTATGGTGAACCAGAGATATAATTTAAGATTAGTTGTAACTCTTGTTGCCTCTATTCCTTAAAATAGTTAAAAGTCTCTCTCTTTTACGTATAGATAAAAAACCGCCGCATACATGGCGATTACAGAATCAAATGGTTATTCGGGCTGATGTGATTAAAACGGTTATACCATTTTGCATTTAATATGAAATCGTAAAGCGCGCGCATATAACCTGAGCTACCATGACATATTTATAGCAATAGTAGACATGTGATTTTATTCAATATCCTATGTACGTACAGCTTAAAGTTGCAAGAACATTTTACTAGCTTTTATGATCGCTACACAGCTCTCCCATCTCTGGACAATATTACACCGTTACTTTGACCCACTGACGAACAAACATCAAATCATTTCTCAGTGCCCGGCGTATTATCGTACAGTTCGAACGCGGCCATGTTTTTTGAAAGCTTTCTTTTAAACTTAGCCGTATTGGCTGCCTTAATAGTTGCCTTAATATTTGATTATGTGACGAAATTCTTCAGCTACTGGTATATTCGCCATGTACCTTACAAAACGCCAATACCGTTTTTCGGAAGTGATTACCATCGCGTATTAAATTTAAAATCTCAATCGGAAGAAGTAAATCAGTTGTACTTTAAATATCCTAATGAAAATTTCGTAGGTACTATCAAAAGTCGTATACCGGAGTTGATTGTTAAAGATCCGGACGTCATAAAGAAACTGTTGTCGACGGATTTTGCGAATTTCCATTGCAGAGGCATCGAGCTCGACAAATCTGGGGATGTTTGCATAAGAAACAATCTATTTTACGCCGAAGGTGAAAAGTGGACCTTACTAAGGGAAGGATTGGAGTCATTATTGAACAATATGGACTGTGAACTTGAAGTCCGTTTACATGACTGTTTGTCAGGAATCAATGGAGACGTGAACGTTCAACAGTTTTTGTCGGAAGTACTGGACGTTTTATTCAAGGATTTTCTATTTGAAGGGAAGGATGACGGATTGCTTATAACCAACATAAGAAAATCCGTACAAAAACGTTCTTATATGGAGAAATTTAAAAGTTATTTGAAAGAAATTTTTCCGTCCTTATACGTTTTGTTCAGATTGGTCACAATTCCAGAACAGCTAACAGCAAGTACGAACGAAGCTTTATCACGGTCGAAATTGTTAATGCAAATTCGCAAAATTGGCCTCACAGAACAAATCAATGCTAATTACGGAAAAGGTGATAATTTAAGGAAAGTATCAGAAATGGAGATAGCATATTCAACAATCTGTCTATTCATAACAAAGGGATATATACCGTGTTTGAATTTGATTACTTCTTTATTATTTGAATTAGCAAGAAACCCGCAGACTCAAGAGACTTTGAGGAATTGCCCAATTTCAGACGTAGACTATTTGGATCTATCCATCAAAGAGGCTTTAAGGTTACACTGTCCGTATTCTACAATAACCAGAAAATGTGTTAAATCATACCAGATTCCTGACAATGATATGATAATAGATAAGAAAATAACCGTAACGGTACCAATAGAAGCAATCCATAAAGACCCGCAGCATTATGAGGAACCTCATGTGTTTAATCCAGACCGGTTCTTGGAAATTAATGATGTGTCAAGGCATCCTTTTGCTTTCTTACCTTTTGGTGCTGGTCCAAGGAAATGTATTGGTAAGTTACGTTTTATTCATAAATTTAAAACTTGTAAAACTCACACTCTACCACCCGAATAACCCGATTTCGATGCTAGCTAGAGCGTGCGAATATAAATTGTTAGTTAGTGGTTTTAAAGCGGATTGTATCTCATATTCCATGATTAAGTAAAACCTCATGTTGTAAAACGTAGTGAGGTATCATGTCCTAAAAAGTATTTCAAGTATTTATATAACCAAAAGTTACAGCCTATTTACAGTCCCACTAATGGGTACAGGCAGTGGCGTAGCTTGCCTTAGACGGGCCCTGTATCAAGATTTGTTAGGGGGCCCAAATGAAAGGCTGAAAACCACTCGCACGAATTAAAATAATTATATATTGATTATAAGTTAATAATTACTATTAATACTACTTAGGAATTAAGCTAGCCAAACAATTCAAATAAAATATACACTTTTCTTGTCTTGTTCGGCGAACTTAATAGGTCGGGGAAAGTTTTTTCGTATTTATATACACATTTTTTTCAGTTTTATTACATTTAATTATGACATATATATTATGTGCGATTTTGTTCGATAACTTGTTGTCATCTTGCAGGTAGATGACACAATTACGTTGCTGTAGAAAATTTGGGATTTTTGATCAAAAAATGCGACAAGTCGTTGTGACAGTCCTCTCTTGAAATTAAGTTAACAACTACCCAAAGAATTCTGAAGAGACCGAAACAGGTGAAAACCTGAGGGTGCTAGGTCAGAACTATATGGTGGTATGAACCAAGCTCTCTCAAGTTTTGCTGAGTGGCTTAATATCTATGTGGTCTGGCGTTGTCATGACGAAAGACCACTCCTTTTCTATTGGTCAATCCCAGCCGTTTTTTCTCAATTACTTGCTAGAGTCTTACTAGTTGTTGGCAGTAGAGACCCGAACCGATGTTATTGCCCAGATGTAAAAGCTCATAATAAACGATGCTCTTCTAATTCCACCATACACACAACATCAACTTACTGCTTGTTAATACGGGTTTCGCTACAGTCTGTGAACTTGACTACCCTTTGACCAAGATTTTTTTCGCACGATCTTGTTGTAGGTAATCCACTCCCATCACCAGTAAATAATCTTTGCAAAAATGTTTCAGTTTTATTACGTTTCAATAGAGAATCGCAAATGAGCACATGATCCCTTAGGTTCCTTTTAGTGAGCTCGTATGGTACCTAAATATCTATATCTATCTAATGTATTCGAAGTAGTTGTAATACTTCGTACATTACTTAGGTCTCAGACGCTCTGAAATCTTTGTTTAGTTTGATACATTAACATGTCCAAACAGCAGTAGTACACATTGACTTTTAAAGACGATTCCGGATATGACATTCTCACACCTTCTGATATTCTTTATAAAAACACTTAGTTATCTTCTTTCTTTTATTTTTGAAAGCAGTTACACTCCACTCTTTTGATAATCTCTAGACTCGCGCAGCAAACCATGGAAAGAAATTTGATTTCTTATTTCGCTCAGTCCATGCAAAATATTACGTAGTAAAATGTAAGCTTTCTGTAAGTCATTACTTTCATGCTGTAGAGCTTTAACAGGATTAATAATTTCAAATAGTGTATAAAAAAGGCGACAAGCACTATAAAATTGCAGGCTCTTTAAAATGGTAACTATATTTTTCCATTCGTCACGTTCGCCTCTTTAGTGGAAATCAAAATTTAGTTGGTACAAAGTTTTCACTTTTAATATAATTCATCATTAAAAATAATTTTACCTTATAGTAGCCGATAAAGCGTCGTTCCTTGAAGACCATTTAGTAGGAACCATTTTAGGGTATTTTTATATTATTTAGATGAATCGTTACTCAGCATTGACGAGCGTTTTATACTATTATTAAAAAAAGTATATTTTTTGGGTAATTCCGTTTATCAACCCTAAAAACCCACCCTAGAGTGGATACTCGCAAACGCGTGGTTTTTCTATCGTCCCCAGACGGGGTTGATAATCGGAGTTCACTTTTATTTGTTCTTCGGACTTTTTACCCAAAGTACAGTTTAATACAGACACTTTAATTATTAATTAATTTTCAGTAACCAAACATTTAAACAAAAACATATTGCGTACGTTTCCGGGCTATTAAAGTCCATGCATTATGTATTTCAAAATTAAAATATAATTAAATCAAATTAGAATTCCTCGTTTTAAATAATATTATTGCGTAGTTTATAAATTCAGAAATATGTCCAGGCAATTACCAACACTAATTGCATTATTAAGTAGACGTAATTTGATATCCTGGATAAATTATCACTTTTTATATATATTAGATTTGCAATCGTATTCTAAACTTTTTTGCTACAACAGATGTTTTAGCAAAGAACTGGGCGTTTTTTGCAAGCATTCCGAAAAAACGTTACCAATTAATGTTTGTCATTTTAAATTATTTTATGCCAAGATTCCAATGAATCTGTAATGTACTCTTTTTATATCAGCGTTGACCTATACTAAGTATCTTGTTGGCCAGTTTTTATCATATTTCTATAAATGACTGTACACAACAGAGGGATTGTTTTTGTTGTTTTTTTTAAAACGTTACCCCCACACTATGATTTTCTTCAGTATCGTTGAGGCAGTTTACAAACATAAATTGCACAGGGACAAACATTCAGACCCGGAACAATTATTTGTAAGCCATACAAATACTTGTTCCGTGCGGTATTCGAAACCGCGGCCCCCAGCGCAGGTTCAAAATAAATTTTGACAGGTCTTCTTTAGGCACGTTGGGCATTATTTGATAATATGATTTTTTTCTCGGGAAGTACGGCCTAAGAGTTAGAGTGAGATCGTGGATAACAATATACGATAATTTAAGAATTTTTGCTTACACACGTTCAGGGCCCCTGTAGCCCTGGGGCCCCGTATCATTGATACGGCTGATACGGCGGTAGCTACGCCCCTGGGTACAGGCCTCCTCTCATTGCTGAGAGGGTTCTAGGACAAGGAAATATGCAAGGGAAATGCAAGTTAGCGAACTTTTACGTTTAATTATCTTCGAAATATTTTCCCTTATATGTCAGACATGCAGATTTCCTTACGATGTTTTTCTTCATCAACGAGCACGTGTAAATCAGTATTAAAAATTGCAATTAACAATCACATTAGTGCCGATCGAACTCTGATTACTCGCATACTGTGAAAATTACAGCACGCGCTTTGCCCCTGAGCTACCACGGCTATAGTTTAACGTATAACGGATTTTTATGAATAATACTGTTAGTAACTCCCACTTAAAAACCTCAAACATTGAACTTAGCAATGGTACTCTAAAAGGCTATTAACTTTTCGGTATGAAGGTGTGCTCTTAATTTAATTTTTATTTATAGGTGTACCGTCCTATAGTGGTGTAAGAACACATACCTACCATTTATGAAACTATATCTTCTACGCAATTGATTGCTATATAAATTCTGCCTGTATTCAGAAATTTTTGCCATGATCGGAACTAACCAGGATTTGTAATGCTCGTGAAAGTTCTGATCTTATAATTTTATACAACAAATCTTTATGGTGCCTTAGTGTTGCCACCAGCAATCTTGTAGATTTTATCTATAGAATTTCTTTCTCTCATTTCAGAGAGAAGGAAATTCTATAGAGCAGCAGTAAGTCCACTGCATATTTAACAACCCTTTCAGTGCCGGTTGGGATCAAGTTCACATTGATTGTGAAATTGTACATTACAATTTTTTAATTTATCTAATATTCCTTTGGCGTTTCGCTTTCAAGCCTATTAAAAGTCCACTGCTGAGTAAAGAGCTATCCTATAGATTGCCTCATAGGGGAGATATTTGAAATAGTTGCTATGCTTAGCAAGCGGATTGGCAACAACAATTTATTTTTATTTTTAGTCGTTCTGCGCTGTCTGCCCGTCTCCTGATTTCCTTCCCGTTTCTGTTTCCCCCTGTCGCCTCCACGGGACGATATGGGTTAGTGGATTAGAGCAACCCGAGGTTTTTTCCGAGGACGACACATGTCGTAAGAGGCGACATAAGGAAACATATACAGGAAGTGGGAAGCAAAAGCTTCCTACTAACAACTTAAAATATCAAATATCTGCGGATGCCAAACCCTCTGCCAAGCATTGTAACTATGACGGGTCGTAGTTCATGCTTGGACTTTTATATTCGTGCCAAAATTAGTTATTGAGATTTTCTCTAGTAGGGAAATTGGCAGCGTTTCATCCCCATGTATCGCAAACCGCGTAAAGCCGTTGGTTCCTGGCCTGATCTCTCCCCGGTCGTCTCGGATTACCATTCCATTGAACTATGATAGTGAGTACATAGAGAGTGCACCTGTGATTGCGCATACACTTGGGCACTATAATCCTGTCCTGCACCGATGACTAACCTCCGAGACTGGCCACCGAGACTGAATTTCCGTTTAGAGGACATTAATGGGTAAATAGTGATGAAATATTTGATTGTTATGAATGGCAAGTGATGACATTTCAAAGGAAATTCAAAAAATTGAGACGGATATGGAGGATTGCTTTTTACGTTAGTTTTATTAAAAAAATCAAGTAAAGCTTTACAAGTGATACGGTTGACTAGCTTTTACACTTTTCCAGGTGAGCACTTGGCGATGACAATTATAAGAAAAGTAACTATGGCCATTCTTAAGAAATACAAAATCAAGGTAACAGAGAAGACACCGCCGCAATTACCTGTCACCGACCACAACTTCATGAAAATAATCAAGAGCGAAATTTGGCTGAAATTCACACCACTGCAGTCTACGTAATTTTTTAAGGATTATATACTTATAAAATAGATTTTTTTTTACATTTTCTAGTATGTAATAAATATTGACAAAACTTATTAAATATTCAGTATGATCTATAAGTTATTTTCTATTTTTTTCTCAGATATATGCTGTACTTAGGCCTTCCTCATAAATTGCATGATATGGTGATTTTCCATTTTTTCCATGCATTGCACCCGCAGTTTTTTATCATTTTCGGTTGTCGTAAAATCTCCCAAAGCACTACCCCTCCCCGTAGATGTCCAGATGGATAATGAAACAGAAGTTTGCCAGCAACGTCTTTATTATAGATCTAGTATAAACTTCAACTATATCTATGGTCTTTATCAAACTTATAAAAAACTCCGGTTTCAACCCGCGTGTCAAGCACGGTTACTATGACAAAATCTCCCCGTTGACCAATAAATCTATAGAGCATTGTCAGCAGTGGACTTTCATAAGCTTAAATTGAGGGATGAATGGAAAGCTATGTACGGAACAATTATTATAAATTAAATTTTTTGTGAAAGCTCTGTTACATTACATTTGTATCAGAATTCAAACGTTTGTTTTTGCCTATTTAAGTTGCAAAAGTGTTGGTAATTTCATTGTGTTTAGTTTGTAGACCATAGTTAAGGAAAAAAAATTGCCATTCTAACATGATATCTGAGAAACAAAAATAAATCCGTTTTTAATAATTCATAGTAATAAATGATAACAAATCAAAGTAATTTTATCGATTAGGTACTTCAACTAAAGCAATTATCATCATCATCGTTACATCCCTTCACAACTCCACTGCTGAACATGGGCCTCCCCCCAAGGAATGTCACAAAACACGGTCTTGAGCCACCTGCATCCATCGACTTCCTGCATATATTACCAGGTCATCATTTCATCCAATGGAGGGCTGTGCCCAGTAACCCTACACTTCGCCTACTGTACCTTTTTTCCATAGGTTGTCGGTTCTTCGAGCTATATGACCGGTCCATTTCCATTGCCACTTCAGCTTACTAATCCGTTGGGCATGTAAGTAGATCACTCTGGTTCTACTGCGGATATCCTCATTTCTAAGTTTATCACGCAGAGAAACCCCGAGGGTAGCCCCCTCCATAGCACACTGAGCAACGTTGAGCGTCCTAATGCTGCCAGCAGTGTAGGACCACGTCTCAGGCCCACGTACCTGACAATAATATGTGTCGTAATTTCCCGAACACTGCCCGGCCGACTTGAATCCGTCGATTGACTTCTCGGTCGAAGTTGGACTTACCTATACGAACTACAAACTAAACCAATGTGATTCTTTCTGATATTATGACAAGCAATTATTATTTTTAATATTTACATTAATTTTAGTTATTTATGATTACTTTATCAAAGTCATTGGTCATTATAATTTGAAATTGAAACTAGTTTTATTATTAAGAAGGTAATAATTAAGAAGATTAGTAATATTTTATTGTTATTCGTGACATCTATCGATCGAATGCAAAAACTCAAGTAAAAATATTTATACACTATAATAATACGGTTTATATTATAAGTTTCCTTGCTGCATAGAGCAACATGGGCCACCAGAAGATCTCATGGGGGAGTATTTATATGCGGGCGTTCCTCTGTTATGCTCAAACTCAAAGTATAAGTCCACGCGGTCCTATTCATACAATAAAACTAGTTGCAGCCGCACCGCTCACCAGACTAGATCTAGTTGTGTGGCGGAATCGACGAAAATGCTGAACCATTCAGGTTTTTTCTGGAAAAAGAGATGTGTTATTTTTTGTTGTTTTGCTTTTTTGGTGTGTTAGTTTTTTGTTCTTGATACGTTTTTTTATACGTTCATCTTAAGATTTAGAAAAAGATTCGAAGACAGACCTTTCATATACAAGTAATTTTTAATCACATTATTGCTATTTAATTCTTGTTAAACTTAAAACCTATAGGAATAACGGTCGTGTTTTTTCGGATTTGCTTACCAACACAGGCCGCACGCCCTCATACAATATGCACCGATCGAGTTGCCGCTGTGTTACCGAGCGAACTGTTATAATGTATCTATGCGTTTGTGAAATTGTAAGTTTATTGAATAGACTTAGAATATACTATTGTTTTAATTGTTATGTATGAGTTTCGTATTGACAGACGATTGTTTTTGTGTGCGCAGATATCCCCCTGGCAAAAAATGACAGACAGTTCCATATCTGGAAAACACGCTCTGGCTACTACCCTTCGGTCCGTGTTACTTACTTTATGCCCCGCTTCGTAAAATTCTATAAAATTTTATATGAGATATAGTTTTAATACTTAAAAGCAATTAAAACGATTTAATTCATTAAATTCAATATTAAATAAAATATGAAAACTCATTTTTGACGCAAATGTACCGCCACCACTAGCAAGACCTAAGTGTTAAATCTGATCACATGCATAAAGAATTGTAAAAGCATATTAATATTTGTTTTTTCTACTTATGTTTGTGACTGTTCCCATATATATATATCACATGAAGGACATAAAGATGACATGAGTGGCTGTATGCTTTGTGAAAACGAGTACTCTTGTATTGTTATAATGTTGTGTTACGATACATACCTATATTTTCTTCAAATACGCCAAATTGAAATCCCTGGTAGTGATCGTGGTGGAAAGCAACATTATCAATGTGTTGTTTTGGTTAATCTTGAAATAATAGCTAAATGCTACTTTGTTTTATATGGTGAGTGTAGAGAACTGGAAATAGTTTTTAGTGGAAACGTGGTATTCCCTTTCACTCTACACCCCTGTGCATTCATCCCACATTTTGATTCCTACTCAAGGATGGATGTTAATGTTTATGGGCCACAGATTCCTTTTACTTTTATAAAACCTACTGTTTTCCAAATATCTTATCGAACTGAGATTATATCTATTTATGTTTCACGTTAAACCATTTAAAAAGTTAAAACCAATTTTTAAATTAGAAAAGAGCGTCATCTTTTATTGTATTAGTTGAAATTTCGTTCCCGCAAAATCGTGAATGGAATGATAACAATACCTTGGTAAAAATAGGGACGTAGCGGGGGGTTCCAAGCGAAAAATATTTTCCGTGTTACCCATCGTGGCTTGATAATGGAGTCTGTCACGGGCGAGACTAGTACTGGGCGTGGGGTCACCATAATTTGTTTATATCGCCCCTTATTCTGTGCCACAATCTTGAATAAAATACAAGAGGGGACTAGGGACCAATTAATAGAGGGGTGAGAAATATAGATATGGAATCGGATGGTTTTTTCATTGTATAATTGTATACCATAATTTAAATTCAAGTGAATAATGGTTTTGTGACAAATGTTGTGCGCACAAAGATGAACTTTGAAATTTTTAAATATCATAATATACCTAACAACTTTACACAACGTTATTTAGAGTTGTAACGACTAAAAACTTTTATTATAATGTTTAATGCGTATATAAGTATTCCTGTAAATTCTGATGGACTTGACCTATTCGCTGAGGCGATTCGAAATTCACACATATGCGTATTGTTGAGACGATAGTTCATATCTTTGTTAGGATCTAATAGGTGGGTAATTAACAATGTTTTTAGGTAACTCGTATTAAAATATGTTGGTTTAGTGCAAAAAAAGAAAATCACATAAAGTTCAGAGTGATTTGGGCGTGAAGCTCATCGAACCTCTGGAAAGAGAAAAAAAACATATGACGCATGAGATAATGTAATATTAAAGTATAATTGATTTGTAAGCATTTTTGTCAGTAATTTTATCATCAGATTTTCGTGTCTTCTTGGAAGATTTGCATGTATTGTAATGAAAGTTGGGTGTGGCATGTATTGAAAGTTGGATGTGGCAGAAGAAGCATGAGAGTAGAATAAACGCAGTAGAAATGCGGTCGTTAAGGAGTATGTTAGGGCTGAATCTGAATGACAGGGTAAGAAATTGTGTAATAAGTGAAGAGTGTGGTTTGCAAGATGATGTTGTGACCAGGATTAAGAAAGGAATGCTTCGGTGGTTTGGTCATGTGGAAAGAATGAATGCGAAAGCAAAGTAATGGAAGCCAAAGGATCCTACAACCAAATTGGCGATATACTAATAGTTGGCCAAATTTTCTTTGTTACTCTTTCCTCGAAAGAGTGACAAAGAAAATTTATGGTGCAGAAGTGAATGGCAGAGCCGGAAAAGGTCGTCCTAGGCGAAAATTTATCGACCAAATTGGCGATTTATTGAAAACGGGCCAAATTAGGAGTACCCTTAACCGACGAGCATGTATGCGTAGGTGTATGGATGTGAAGGAGGCAAGGAGGTGTGTCAGATCGTGCCAAATGGAAGTCTGTAGTCTCTGCCTACCCCTCTGGGTGACAGGCGTGAGTGTTTATGTATGTATGTATTGTAATCTATAAAATTTGTATGGTGATTTTTCTGCTTGATAGAATGCGTTATCTGCATTACAGAGAACATTAGTAGTAGAACCAGAGTAACACGTATAGCCCAACGGATCAGTAAGCCGAAGTGGCAATGAACGGACCATATGTCTTGTAGAAGCGATAAACGATGGGCAAAAAAGGTTCTCGTGTGGCAGCCTCGTACCAGTAAGCGACGCATAGATCGACTTTCACTAGAATGACGACTTAGACCACCAATAAGTTGATAGATACAGATGTTCCAGGAACTTATTCTTCGGGTGAGGTGTACAATGTTCAGCAGTGGACTTGTGAGCTGTCATGGCGATGTTGATAATTTTTATATAATGGAAACAATGCCTCAATGAACAGTGTTAGGCTCAGTGAAGCGTTCTGCGTGCATGACGAAAACAAGGTTATCTATTAGTGTCCTAAAGGGGTGACCACTAAAAGTGTATGCAAATGCTCCAACCAAGTTTAACGCCGAACACTTCTCTGAGGACTTGACCAATTCGGAAGGCTTACTGAGATGATATGCAAAATAAACAAAATGCGCGTTTTTTTGCAATCAAATAAAGCGTTCAGTATTTTCGGAAATATTTTTCAC